CATGCAGAGGAATAAAGTCAAGAAAGTTCTTTTTGTTTTCATCAAAGTTATTACTGAAATGTACACTGTATTTCAATCTGTAAACAAAAGGCGACACTGTTACACTCTTTAAAACTAACGACAGATCAAGAACTAAAACGAGCAAAACTTTTGTGGTCCGCCTGTTAATGAGAGGTAGAGCTGAAGGAGGGATCAAGATGAAGATGAGAAAGACGCTGAGTGGGCGGTTCTGGTAATGCAAAAGCACTAGAGCAATGAAATAATCATGAGCGTGACCAGAGACTAGCTTGAGTTACGTCCTGTGCAGTCTAAAAGTATTGGCTTAGCTGGAACGAAGGGAGAGAAGAAAGGAGGGAAGAAAGGAAGGAGGGAAGCTGCCGACAAGCTGACAGCAGATTTAGCTGAAACGACAGCCAGCAGTCACAGTAAGTTAAATATGTCTTAATGTTTGGACTTGGGCTGTTAGTTGGCTATATGTTAGTGTCTACAGGGTAAGTTTAAGTCGGCTTGTTGTTGTTGATCTTTAAAATATAAAGATCTGTGGGTTTTTTCAGGACCATAATGTAATGTAAGGGATTGTGTTGGGGAATAATATTAAACATCAAATGTAATAGCATCAAAGCATTCTCTTTTGAATGCATGTGATAAAAAATCTCAATGAACATCTAATTTACAGACACAACCAAATTTAATGGTGCCGGTAAAACTGCCTCTGTGAACAACTTTTCAACAACTCTTCGAATTTGATCATATTTTTTTAGTTTGAAATACTTTGAGGTCACAAGCCACTTTGACTTTCCCTGAATTATCCAAATGATCCACCAACTAGGACGCAGATGAGGACCCCCGTGCCCTGTCTGAGGTGACCACAAGTGCCAGTAGCGATGATGTCAGCGGAGGTTGGACCTACGAGTGGAGTCTGGTCCACAGTCTGAGTCCTGAGTTGGAACTTAATATCTGTGACACTGACATACAAGCCAGGTGACTATATCCTGTATCCTGATTTTAGAAACCACTTCTTTTTTCCAAGAACAGTCTGCCTGAGCAGTGAGCATATAGAAATACTGGGAAAGAGCACACTCTCACTCAGAAAGTCTTTGTCTTCAACAATAGCAGGCAACTGTATTCAGAAAAAAAAGTATGCTACCTGCCCAGCACCAGTCAGCAACTTACTGGGGAACATATTGAAGCATTTCGCAGCTAAAGAGACAGATATTTCCCTCTGGAGCTGGTGGAGACCAAAAACAGAGCAAAAAGGAAAGAGACTTTTGGACTGCCATTTGTACATTCATGTACAACTATCATTTGTTGTTGTAGTTACGTAGTTATCAGCGTTACATTATCCACACCTTATAGCATTTGTAGCCCCTTGTCCTAGATCACCAAGCCAAGAGTCTGTCCAGCAAACACATTTTTCAACTGACAACTCCATGTTTGCACAAGCTTCGTCTTATATATATCTGTGATGACATTCAACTGCCCTCCTCCAGCTCTCCAAATCAGTGGGACTGTCCAGAGAGGAGCAGATCCCTCAGCTCAGAGGGGCACCATGTGGCCCAAAGAGATATGACCCGGCTGGACCCCTCCAAAGCTGAATGCTCCTGGATGGACGAGAGGAGGGGCAGAGACAGGTCCCACCGGACATCAGGTACGACCACAAATATACGCTGACTAGACATTCTTGACCATGACTTGTGCCCATGCTCTCTTACAGGCTGCAGTGCATATTAAGGAAATTACCTCAGGTTTGTGTGATTTTCAGAGTCCAGAGGAGACAGGGAACAAGAGAGTGGCTACTTCTCTCCAGACAGAAGAGGTGATGGTGAGAAGCAGATGGAGGAGGTCAACAAGCGGTCGTATCGGTACTACGAGAGGGGGCATCCTCTTCCCAGCAACCATGTTACTGAGCCAAAAGCCTGCGTCCCCTACAGGAACGTCAACCTCGGCACGCCCTCCCAGAGGAGGAACCCAGAGACGTACATGCAGGAAATTTGGAGGAGCGAATCCCCAGAGAGGTACACGTACCACTCCAACTTTAGACGGGGAGCTGATTCACAGAATAATTCACCAACACGTCACAGCTCTGTGAGCCCAGATCGCTATAAGTTCACAGAGTCTCCTGTGGGAACCCAACGAAAGAGCTCCTCCTCCAGGAGTCAGGCCCGGTCTCATGGATCCTCTCCGCTTCCATCATGTGGCCTTTCTCGGCACACTTCCAGCAGGTCCAGTCCATCTCGCAGGAGGGGGTCCGTTGCCTCTCGGACCGCCTCGCCCTCTAGAGCCACCCCCTCTCACAGGCAAGCAGACTCTTTCCATTTACAGAATGGTAAGTATGATGCTCAAAGGAGGTGCAGCCGGGACTTGAGAAGTCCGTCACAAGCTTCAAACAAACACAGTTTGGACTCTGAGAAGCTGTACAGGAATCTGGAGTCTATCTCCCGCCGAGGCTCTTCAGCCATCCAGCAACACTCATATGAGGGATCCCAAGCATCTCCTCGAATCAGAACGGCCATCAACAGCTCGGCCAACACTCGTACTCGCAACAGCCGCAAAGTATCACCATCCAGGAACGGCTACAGTACACACAGCCACACCCCACAGCCACAGCCCCAGTCCAGAGACAGCAGACCGAGTCCAACTCAAGGCTCCTGGCAGGGGTCATCACACTCTTTACTTAGCCTCCCACCCTCTCGAGGTTCCTCATCAAGACGAGGTGCGGACTCTCAGATGCATGGTGGTTCACTTTCACATGTTGCAATCACAGAAACCGACAAAGGCCATGAGGGGAACAATCAGGTCAGCGGTGACAGAAGCAGGAGCAACATGAGGCGAGGCATGGAGGCCTTGCTGATCTCTGAACCCAAGAAGGCTGCAGTAGAAACAGAAGAGGTACGAATGTCAGGTGGTACTTGGTTGCTAGCCAAGCTAGCGGTGTGGCTCTACGGATGAATCTCGGTCTGCCTGTCACTCAGTCATCCACTTTGGTACAGAGTGAAATATCCAAACAACTATTAGATGGATTGTTATAAAATGTTGCACATATATTCATGATCGTCAGAGGATGACACTTACAGTGAAATGTTTCCACATCTATTGGATGGAGGTCAATTTGTTCAAGACTAATCACCTGCAAAATGACATTCCCATCAGCTAACTAGCAAATATCAGCATGCTAACATGCTAAAGTAAGATGTTACACTTTATACCTGCTAAACATCAGTATGTTAGCACTGTTCCCTAAATACAGCCTCACAGAGTCACTAGCATGTCTGTAGACTCTTAATCTTGTTACATTTTTTGCCAGAGAAAACACTCATTACGCATATCAGGTAAAATGTTGCTCAATCTTTATGAATCTGAGGTGGGGATGACCATGGACGACTACATTCTCCTGGCTGGTATTCCAACCATACAGCTGGAGTATGAGGAAGAGTCTCCAGGGATGAGGAGGAGGAACCAGAGTCCCAGCCCATGCAGGGACAACAGGCTTAGAGCCTACAGGTTGGTGGTACCATGGGGTACTGTATGGTATCATTGTATAGCATTTATTCATGCCATAACCATGCATCTATTCTGCATTCCTAGTGTATGTGTTTTTTCAGGCTGTTCTTTTGGCAGCTGGAAGATTCATAGAAGTGGTTAAGCAAGTAGAAAAATACTTTAATGATATCTTTTGATCTGACCATGAGCAATTGCCTTGGTTTGACCAAAGAAAAGATGAGAGCTCTAAAGGCCTTTGCAGAGGAATGTGAAAGTTCAGTGAGTAAAAAAGGATGTCAATTGTGCTTTTGGTGTGTTTATGTGTTCGTCAAATATTTCTCTGATTTGACTCTGAAGGTTTCAAGATGAAATAGACATCCACAGTTCAAGACTTGAGTCAGATGAGAGGGGGAGAGTCAGAGAGAGAGGCAGAGATAGGCGAGAGAAATGTCGGGACTCTGAGAACGGACGGTCATCTCGAAGACAGTCAGCTGCATCTATTCATTCACAGGTACGATTCACAATACAATCAATGTTGAAACTCAGTAGAGTGCAGATATCCGCCAGGTGTGTCTGCAACAACCACTGCTGCATTGTGTGATTGAATGAATGCAACCCACAATTGGCTAACCACTTGTCTAGACCCTAATGGGCCGTAAGTTGCATAAAACACACTTGAAAAACAAGCAGTGGCGTATTCAGACATTTGGCTCGAAGTTGCTTCATACAATCAAAAACAAACTCACTAAGTTGTCTCCCCACTAAGTAGCAGCTGAGTTGCGGCAGAGTAGTTTTGTTAGCAATTAGCCAAACACACCGATCAAAACAATCAAAGGGAGCCACAGAGCAGTGGCTGAGAGGTATTCAGCAGGGTGTAGTTCCGTTAGGTGTTATTAATAAAAGGTATTTTGAGAAAGCGTGAGTCCCCACAATCTTGAGAGGTCCTTGAGCATGCCGCCATAATTGGCCACCCAATATATACAGAGGACAGACAGTGAGAAGCACAGTCAGTCACTCACTCACCAACTCACCCACGGATGCATGCAAACCTGCACGCACGCACACTGATGCGATAATTCAGATAATCAAAGTGGAAGACACAGATCTTCAAAGGTGAAGGAGCGAGCTCCTCCTGAACGCCCGCAGACACAGGTGAGCGCGGTCCCATGACTTTTCTGCATCTGCATAAATCACATAAGTGATTGGAGGAAAATGGGTCATTCATACATTTGCTTCTAAAGTAGATCCCTGATGTTTAGTTCAGCTGCTTTACCTCAGGCGCTCCTCTCAGGCAGGGAAAAAGCCATTAGTTAGCACTCTATGTTTTAGGGCAGCATGTTCATGTGATTTATCATTTTTACATGAATAGATTCAGGATGTATCCTGCAGTTTCAGCTAAAACTGCTGAGTCGAAAACAGAGGGATGGATGACCACAAAATGAAACATTCAAAATGTTATTTCAATGCTTTGATTCACATGCAACCAAGCAAACGTGTTTGTAGTAGTTCTGAAACCCTGACATGACAGTTATATGAATGCATGTGATCTCACACTTGTGACTTCCCCATTTCATCTCACATCACGCATGTTCATCTCTCACAATGTCTCGTTCTTTCTGTGCTCCTCACAATATGTACTGTGCAATGGAATGCATCTCTGGTAAGTATATTATTTTATGCTAACATGCTTTAATGGCACCTGCCTGCTCTTAAGTCTGTCTAATAATGTCCCATCAGTTCCCCTTTCTCTTCCTATTTCTCATTGTTCAACAATGATGATCACTGTTTGCAAATGTTCACCTCTTCCTTTTTCTTACGTTGCCATTCTGCAGTATGTTTCCCATTTTTTGTGCTCTAAAGTTCTGCCTGCCTCTCTATGTGTGCTTCAGAAAGATGTGGTTATCGCACAGAGACACCGTCGTCTGCTCTGACATTTTCCGTTTCCTCTAGTTTCACAATCAAGCACGAGACAGAAACCATTGCAGAATGCTTTCAAAGAGCTTGATCATGATGCTTTAATTACAGGTGTTGTTGCTTGAAGGGGTGGATGTCCATACTGGATGAACATGGCAAGGTAGATTGATGTTTTTGGAATTATTTCAATATACATTTTTCTAAAAAGTTAGTCATTTTCTATTCTAATTGTCTACACTACATAGACAGTACAAAACTCCAAGAACGAGACTTGACCTGAAAATTTTCTACAAAGACGTTCATAGACTACAATAATGAATTTAATGTCCATGTTAACTGTGTTTTGTTCAGGGGAGGAAACACTGGTTTGTTCTAGGTGATACAACGCTGAGGTACTACAGAGACGCGGATGCTGAGGAGGTAGGAGCTATTGTTTGACATAAAAGTAATTTCTGATTTGTTAGTACATTTTTGTCAACCAAAGGCAACTCATTTCAATCTACATAGTGATGTATAAAGAGGTTGTCACCGTAGCATGAGCAACATCAGTTCCTCCAAAAATGATTCTATGGTGCCTGATACATTTGTCTTTGCTGTTTTTGTGTATTTGTGCTGCAGTCAGATGATCTGGACGGAGAAATCAACCTGACGTCCTGTGAGAATGTGTCAGACTGCGATGTGGAAAAGAACTATGGACTCCAAATACAAGTATGTGTTTATTGTACTTGTGTTTAATTGTGTCGTACAGTACAGCATCAGGAAGATGGACCGTCAGAACCCCCCCCCCCCCGTTTCCACATCGATGACATGTCTGGCTGCTTCCTGTTTAACAGCAAGTGTGTGTGTGTGTGTGTGTGTGTGTGTGTGTGTGTGTGTGTGTGTG